GTGACTACAATCGCACTTTGATTTCTAAGCTTAGCAAGATATATAATAAATGTGTAAAATTCATTATTCTTCATTCTAATTACAAAATTTATATCACAAGATGTAAGCGTCAAATTTCTCTAAAACCTGGACAGTACTGCCACAAATTAATTATCAATGTCTGACCTTCATCTTTAACAATAGCAATCTGTAGGAATTTGATAAAAGGTTGTCTCAGGATTATGATGATTTTTTTTCTAAAATCACTTGTTGAACTATCTGTGTTTGCAGGGCCGGCGCTAACTGTAAGGCGGACTAGGCAGCCGCCTAGGGCGCCCCTTGGGAGGGGGCGCCGCCAGGAGCGCCGGCCCCGCTCATGCTGCAGCCGCCCGAGCGCTCTGTAAAGAGCCTCAGGCGGCTGCAGCTTTGCCCGGGCGGTGCGTCCATGAGGGCGGACCGCACCGCCCGGGCGCAGCCTGAGGAGAGGCTGACAGGAGGGAAGCGCTCAGCGCTCCCACCTGTCAGCTCCCTCTCTGTAGCGTGGCCGAGCCCTCTATGGCATGGTCCGACCGGTACAGAGAGCAGCTCTCTCCTGTACCCGGCCGGACTAACAGGAAGTGAACACTGAGTGTTCACTTCTTGTTAGTCCTGCCGGGTACAGGAAACAACAGCTCCCTGTACCGGTCGGACTATACTGGGCTCGGCCACACTACCACACAGGTAGGGGAGGGAGGGGGAAGAAAGAGGGAGGAAGGGGGGAGAAGAAAAAAAAAAGAAAGGGAGGGAGGGGGAGAAGAAAAAAGAGAGGGAGGGGGAGAAGAAAGAAACAGGGAGGGAGGGAGGGGAGAAGAAAGAAACAGAGAGGGAGGGAGGGGAGAAGAAAGAAACAGAGAGAGAGGGAGGGGGAGAAGAAAAAAAAGAGGGAGGGGGAGAAGAAAAAAAAGAGGGAGGGGGAGAAGAAAGAAACAGAGGGAGGGAGGGGGAGAAAGAAACAGGGAGGGAGAGAGGGGGAGAAAGAAACAGGGAGGGAGAGAGGGGGAGAAAGAAACAGGGAGGGAGGGAGGGGGAGAAAGAAACAGGGAGGGAGGGGGAGAAGGAAAGAAACAGGGAGGAGGGAGGGGGGAGAAGAAAGAAACAGGGAGGAGGGGGGGAGAAGAAAAGAGAGGGAGGGAGGGAGAAGAAAGAACAGGGAGGGAGGGGAGAAGAAAGAAACAGGGAGGGAGGGGGAGGCTGTTGAAACAGAGGAGGGAGGGGGGAGAAGAAAGAAACAGAGAGGGAGAGGGAGGGAGAAGAAAGAAACAGAGAGGGAGGGAGGGGGGAGAAGAAAAAAGAGAGGGAGGGAGGGGGAGAGAAGAAAGAACAGGGAGGGAGGGGGGGAGAAGAAAAAGAGAGGGAGGAGGGGAGGAAGAAAGAAACAGGGAGGGAGGGGGGGAGAAGAAAGTTGAAACAGGGAGGGAGGGGGAGAAGAAAGAAACAGAGGGAGGGAGGGGGGAGAAGGAAACAGGGAAGGAGGGAGGGGGGAGAAGGAAACGGAGGGAGGGGGAAGAAAGAAACAGGGAGGGGGAAAAAAGAGGGAGGGAGGGGGGAGAAGGAAACAGGGAGGGAGGGGGAGAAGGAAACAGGGAGGGAGGGGGAGAAGGAAACAGGGAAGGAGGGGGAAGAAAGAAACAGGGAGGGGGAAGAAAGAAACAGGGAGGGGAGGGGGGAAGAAAGAAACTGACAGGGGAGGGGGGAGAAAGAAACTGACAGGGGAGGGGGGAGAAAGAAACTAACGGGGGGGAGACATTGACGGGGAGAGAGAAATTGACAGGGAGGGGGGAGTGACAGGGGAGGGAGGGGGAATGAGAGTAACAAGGGAGGGGGGGAGAAGAGAGTGACAAGGGAGGGGGGAGAGATTGACATCCATCACACACACACACACAATCACACACAATGCACCCCTTACACACAAAGACAATGAACCCCTTGCACACAGAAAAACACACAGTGCATTACACACACAATGCATTACACACACAATGCATTACACACACACACGCAATGCAACCCTTACACACAATGCATCCCTTGCACACACAGAAACACACAATGCATTCCTTACACACACTCAATGCACCCCTTACAGACTCACACACTTCATCCCTTACATACACAGAAACACACCTTGCAGCCCTTACACATACAAACACAGAACACAATGCATTACACACAAATCAGGACATTCCCTACACACTCCATCCCCTGTGAACAAACTCATTGGTGGAAAATGAAGGTGGACCCTGGGACCCAGACCTTGAGCTGTGTAAAGGGCCCCCAAAAAATGGAGCTGCTTCTCGTTCTCCCAGAACATTGATTTGTGTGACCACAGTTACAAACAGCCTCCAGAGATCCTGTTATACACCAGACCAGTGGAGCCAGACTGCAGCTAGAGCCCATCATCATCCTCATCTGCTTGTAAGTAGGTAATCTAGTATATTATTCGTGGCACTAATCTCTAATTTACCTCACATTAAAGAAACACTATAGTCCCCAGAACCACTGCACCTTAATGTAGTGGTCCTGGTGTCTATAGCCTGTCCCTGCAGGCCTTTTAATGTAAACACAGCGGCACTGCAGCACTAGCGTTAGTTAACATGGCAGGTCATATGGGTGGGGCATTGCGATGTCACGGGGGGGAGGAGGGGGGCGGCAAACTTTACTTTTGCCTAGGGCGGCAAAAATCCTTGCACCGGCCCTGTGTGTTTGTACATGGATTTCCTTAGTAGAGGTATCATTGGGAAGTTATATTATTTTTTTTTTTACCATATATCATAGCTCATCCATACTTAACTTTTAAACTGGGGGGGAAAAAAACGAGTTTATTTTTTTATAATGCTCTCCAAGAAATGATTTTTGATCAATACAAATGTGCTTCATTTGTGTCTTGATAAATTATATTATTACATCCATCCATATCATGTAGATTCATACAAAGCACTACTTCTGGTAGTTAGCCAATGAAGAAGACACATCTTGTTTTTTCCCCAGTAGTGATTTCATATTAGCAGAAATAACTCACTTGTGAGTTAGTGTGGAAAAATAGCGCTTCCAAAACAATATGGTAAGTAGTTGCTCTACAACACCTGTGAGTGGATACCTTCTTCCCTCACCATAAACGTATGGCAGGAGATGATTGTAATGAAAAAACTTTAGAATCGGTGGGTTGAGCACTAATTGATTAACAAGCAGATATTTGCTTATCCCTTACTGAGAAGTTATATGGGATCTTGATGTGGGGTAATATGTAAAGAGAGAAAAAAAGAACAAAACAGATCTAGTACAGATGGTATTTAAAAAGTTCCAAACACAAAGTAGGATAAGTAGACACACTCACAATCTTCAGAGCCTGAGGATAAGGCTCAATAACAACGCTAATGTACTTTTATAGGCATAGAAACATAGAATGTGACGGCAGATAAGAACCATTCGGCCCATCTAGTCTGCCCAATTTTCTAAAATACTTTCATTAGTCTCTTTTATCTAAGATAGCCTTATGTCTATCCCACGCATGCTTAAACTCCTTCACCTCTACCACTTCAGCTGGAAGGCTATTCCATGCATCCACTACCCTCTCAGTAAAGTAATACTTTCTGATATTATTTTTAAACCTTTGCCCCTCTAATTTAAGACTATGTCCTCTTGTTGTGGTAGTTTTTCTTCATTTTAATGTGTTTCTTCTTTTAAATCCAAGAAGGCAGCACCCCACCTTCTTGGATAGATGAAAAATCTCAAAGTAAACAAGACAAGGGATTATGGTGCAGTATATCTGGATGTGTCATCGACTATAACGACTTCTTAGAAATGGAATCTCACCTTATTGAGAGCCCATAGGTGCCTTTGCTCTCAGGTGTAAAAGCCTAATGTCAAATTTTGGGGTGACATTCCCCTATCTGAAACCTGGAACAGGACTGACTACCACATGTGGTGCAAATCCACTATTTATTCAGTATTGATATTAAAAACAAAAGCTATACATACATATTAAAAATGTTTTTATCAGTTTGTAGTGCAGTCCTTAAGTGCCAATGTTAAATTAATCCATTCCGGTCACATGGTGCATGTCCTCCAACCAGTGAGCTTTATAGGCAAAATGTCCTTCTGTAATGTGATGGTTATTCCTCATCCCGCTGAAAGTGAGGTCAATTTCCAGCACTTTTTAATGATGTGTATCTTTGGCTGAGTCTACCGGTACACAATATACATCAATAAATACTTTATTCTTCATGTAGATATTTTTAAAAAGGCGTATAGGCT